ATCTCTAATAACCTTCAACTTATACGTTCATGGTTTTGCAACGATATTACTCCGTACCATCGTAAGATAATTTTAGGTAGACAATCGATGGTTTTGTGGTTCCAAGGGACTGTAGGGTCGATGTACATGCAATTGGTTTTCGCAGGAATGGATTTAGGACACGAGAAGATGGTAATGTCCTTAAATGAAAAGAATAAAAATGTGAACTAGGAGAAGTTTTTGGATTTTTTCTAGTATATTCGGACCAAAATTGGTCTGAAAAATGAAAAGCATGGAAGCTTCTGGATTCGTTGCAAATATTCAGACCAAAACTGGTCCGTATATATATTCATACTTAATTTAATCTAACTTTAGGATTAAAAAACCTTGGAATGCCTATATTCGGACCGATACCGATCCGTATATATCTATACGGAGCGGTATCAGTCCGTATATACACCTGAATAGCAGTTTTTTATTTTTTTTTTGTTATTTTGTTCTTAAGTCATTCTACTCTCATTTTAAACCACAACATTCCGAATGTTTGTATGCCAAAGTGGTTAACCTAAACAAAAAAAATAATTTTATTTGCTTGTGGCTCTGAAAAAGCATTACGTAACATTATCTCTAATAACCTTCAACTTATACGTTTGTGGTTTTACAACGATATTATTCCGTATCATCGTAAGATAATTTCAAGTAGATAATCGATGGTTTTGTGGTTCCAAGGGACTGTAGGGTTGATGTACATGCAATTGGTTTCCGCAGGAATGAATTTAGGACACGAGAAGATGGTAATTTCCTTAAGTGAAAAGAATAAAAATGTGCATCGGGAGAAGTTTCTAGATTTTTTCTAGTATATTCGAACCAAAATTGTTCTGAAAAATAAAAAGCATGGAAGCTTCTGGATTCGTTGCAAATATTCAGACAAAAACCGATCCGTATAAATATTCATACTTAATTTAATTTAGTTTTAGGATTAAAAAACCTTGGAATGCCTATATTCGGACCGATACCGATCTGTATATATCTATACGGAGCGATATCGGTCCGTATATACACCTGAACAACAGTTTTTTATTTTTTTTGTTATTTTGTTCTTAAGTCGTTCTACTTTCGTTTTAAACTGTAACATTCCAAATGTTTGTATCCCAAAGTGGTTAACCTAAACAAAAAAATAATAATTTTATTTGCTTATGGCTATGAAAGAGCATTACATAACATTATCTCTAATAACCTTCAACTTATACGTTCGTGGTTTTGCAACGATATTACTCTGTACCATCGTAAGATAATTTCAGGTAGACAATCGATGGTTTTGTGGTTCCAAGGGATTGTAGGGTCGATGTACATGCAATTGGTTTCTGCAAGAATGAATTTAGGACACGAGAAGATGGTAATGTCCTTAAATGAAAAGAATAAAAATGTGCACTGGGAGAGGTTTCTGGATTTTTTCTAGCATATTCGGACCAAAATCGGTCTGAAAAATGAAAAGCATGGAAGCTTCTGGATTCTTTGCATATATTCAAATAAAAACCGATCTGTATATATATTCATATTTAATTTAATTTAGCTTTAGGATTAAAAAACCTTGGAATGCCTATATTCGGACCGCTACCGGTCTGTATATATCTATACGGAGCGATATCGGTCCGTATATACACCTGAACAACAGCTTTTTATTTTCTTTGTTATTTTGTTCTAAAGTTGTTCTATTCTCGTTTTAAACCGTAACATTCCGAATGTTTGTATCCCAAAGTGGTTAACTTAAACAAAAAAAAAATAATTTTATTTGCTTGTGGCTCTGAAAGAGCATTACGTAACATTATCTCTAATAACCTTCAACTTATACGTTCGTGGTTTTGCAATGATATTACTCTGTACCATCGTAAGATAATTTCAGGTAGACAATCGATGGTTTTGTGGTTCTAAAGGACTGTAGGGTCGATGTACATGCAATTGGTTTCTGCAGGAATGAATTTAGGACACTTGAAGATGGTAATGTCCTTAAATGAAAAGAATAAAAATGTGCATCGGGAGAAGTTTTTGGATTTTTTCTACTATATTCGGACCAAAATCGGTCTGAAAAATTAAAAGCATGGAAGCTTATGGATTCTTTGCATATATTCAAACCAAAACTGGTCCATATATATATTCATACTTAATTTAATTTAGCTTTAGGATTAAAAAACCTTGGAATGCCTATATTTGGACTGATACCGGTCCGTATATATCTATACGGAGCAGTATCGGTCCGTATATACACCTGAACAACAGCTTTTTCTTTTTTTTTTTTTGTTATTTTGTTCTTAAGTCGTTCTACTCTCGTTTTAAACTGTAACATTTCGAATGTTTGTATCCCAAAGTGGTTAACCTAAACAAAAAAAATAATTTTATTTGCTTGTGGCTCCGAAAGAGTATTACGTAACATTATCTCTAATAACCTTCAACTTATACGTGCATGGTTTTACAACGATATTACTCCGTACCATCGTAAGATAATTTTAGGTAGACAATCGATGGTTTTGTGGTTCCAAGGGACTGTAGGGTCGATTTACATGCAATTGGTTTCCGCAAGAATGAATTTAGGACACGAGAAGATGGTAATTTCCTTAAATGAAAAGAATAAAAATGTGCACCGGGAGAAGTTTCTGGATTTTTTCTAGCATATTCGGACCAAAATCGGTCTGAAAAATGAAAAGCATGGAAGCTTCTGAATTCTTTGCATATATTCAGATAAAAACCGATCTGTATATATATTCATACTTAATTTAATTTAGCTTTAGGATTAAAAAACCTTGGAATGCCTATATTCGGACTGATACCGGTCTGTATATATCTATACGGAGTGGTATTGGTCCGTATATACACCTGAACAGCAGTTTTTTATTTTTTTTTGTTATTTTGTTCTTAAGTCGTTCTACTCTTGTTTTAAACTGTAAGATTCCAAATGTTTGTATCCCAAAGTGGTTAACCTAAACAAAAAAAAAAATAATTTTATTTGCTTGTGGCTCTGAAAGAGCATTACGTAACATTATCTCTAATAACCTTCAACTTATATGTTCGTTGTTTTGCAACGATATTACTCCGTACCATCGTAAGATAATTTTAGATAGACAATCGATGGTTTTGTGGTTCCAACGGACTGCAGGGTCGATGTACATGCAATTGGTTTCCGCAAGAATGAATTTAGGACACTTGAAGATGGTAATGTCCTTAAATGAAAATAATAAAAATGTGCATCGGGATAGGTTTTTGGATTTTTTCTAGTATATTCGAACCAAAATTGGTCGGAAAAATGAAAAGCATGGAAGCTTATGGATTCTTTACATATATTCAAACCAAAACCGGACCGTATATATATTCATACTTAATTTAATTTAGCTTTAGGATTAAAAAACCTTGGAATGCCTATATTCGGACCGATATCGGTTGTCATAATTCAAATTTTAGTAGAATTTTATTTTATTTTTATTTTTATTTTAACTAATATGTTTTGTCTTGTTTTACTTGTTAGGTTTATAAAAAAAAAAGGAGCGGCAAAAAAGAAATTTTACGAAGAAGATTGGAAAAGAAGATGAGAAAAGGACTCAATTGAAGAACTGGAAAGTTAGAGGAGGAAATGCAAAGTCTTACCCAAAATCCAAAGCCTACCAACTACCCAAGCCCAAAATCCCAAAACCAAAAAATTACCCAAAACACAAAACACAACTACCCAAACCCAAGCCCAAATACTAAACCCATTTAACCTAAACAAACCCAAAAAAAAAAAAGGGGTGAAAAGGTCTCCGTCCTCTCTCTCCTCCAGAACTTTCTTCTTCCCCCTTTGCCCCTGCACCCTAGCCTCACACCCGAACCAGGCACCCCCCCTCTGCACGAACCAGTCTGCACCTACCCTGCACACAGCCCAGATCGCCTACACTCTGCTTGCCCTGCTGCGCCCCACTGCCGGCAATGATGCCCCTGCACGCCCGAGCCATCATCAGCACCCCACGCCCCTCCTCTGCGCGCCTGATCCTGCAATCACGCCCCTGTTGCTTGCACGCCAGCCACTGCTGCTGCAC